AGGAGTCCACCACACACTTACTGTGCCAGGTCCTGATGCTGTCTCCTATTTTACTGGTGGTCTAATGTTTTGCCTTTCAGACATACTAATGCCCTGATACTCTCATTGCATCTGAATAAAGAGGAGGCTCCTGCTGGTGACTCTGCAGTTGAAATAGGAATTTTGGCTCTTAAGGGAAATGGAGCTGTATTAATTCAGTTTCTTTCACTGAATGTGGTTTTGACTACTCCCATGACTTGATAGTATTTTAAAAGCCTTAGTAAGAGGACCTATTTGTCTACTATATGCCGGAATCATTAATACAAACCTTTAATATAACCTATTTAATATGCAAATATGGACTTTAAAAACAGTTATCCACTTTTTATCCACTTTTTTCAAAATAACTTAGAAGCAGCCAGAATCAATTTATGCACCCCAGAAACAAGTCAAAAGCCAGTCAAACAAGAGTCTAAACTACCTCGAACTACCTTGAGTTGCTCCTACATGCAGCTATTACCTCTCTACCCCCACACTCAACTCCTGGCAGAAAAAGTATTCCAAAATAAGTATTCTATCACAGAAAAGAGATTTCATCAAACAAAATCATATATGGCCTCCACAGATCAACTCTCATCCGACTTTGGAATTGTCAAGCAGCAAGAAAAGTCTCTAAATTCTTAAAAAGTGGATAACTACTTGTAAAAATGTTTGTGTGGTAGTTTCAATGTCACTGTGCAGGTTTTGTGCAGATTTTAATGCATTTACAAATATATATATATATATATATATATATGAACATGTGAACTGAGTATCTGAGTGCAAATTCTTTTCTCCACACTGCTGACTTCCTGCTGGTAATCTTCACACGCATTCACACGCATCAAAACACATATTACTTGGTATCCCATTGTTTCCGTCATTAAAAAAAAGTTTTTTTGTTTTTTTTTACCTGTCGATATGCATCGAGGGGCCCATAGAAGTCAATAGGCGTACATTAAAATGCATGATACATAGATTTTCATGCACTGCCAAGACATGGTTACTCCGATCCGCTCCTGGCAACAGATCATGTGTCCTTGGGTTAGCTACATTTGGAAAATGATAGGCTCTACTCACTCCTTCCTAATTTGAGAAATTCCTCAATGAAAACATGCACAATGCATACAAACTCACATTAAAACTGCATGTAAAATGCATGAAAACACAAAAGCACATAGATGTGAAGCCTTAGGGTGAGGTTAAGCAGCAAATGTTAATAGCATTGATTTTTTTTCAAGCTGAAAATCAGACCGTGAACATTTCTAAATAAACTGGTGAAGATGGTATGTTTTCAGTGTGGAAGGGATTATGGTGAATGTACTCCGACAGCATAGCAGATACAAGATCGCTGGCATGAAAACTCTGATAGGGCTTTAACCTTCAGAGTCTGATGGAAAAAAATTAAGGGAAAATAGACCCCTAAAATGAATCCAAAATACTTAAAGGAAAAGTTCACCTTTAGGTAGACTGCTGTCTCCATGTACTTTAATATTAATTCTTAACTCTCCAAACCTTAAAAAGAAAACAACCAGAAGCTTCATAAAAATGAACTCCGGCCTAAGTCCAAATCCCTGATATTAGCCTAACCCAACCTCTGGATTTCTAAGTATTTTTATTTGAAGCTACAGCTGCTAGAACCAAAAGCTTGTAGTCTTGCATTAAATTCTCATGGCCGCAAAAGAAAGTATTGTAAAATGAGGATATGAAAGCAAGTGAATTTACACACTACATACCTAACCATGCCCACACTTTTACGATTAGCTACAACTTTAGGCAGAAGTTTAACTGCAGCAAGTAAGTTCCTTGCTTGTCATCCTTGTGACTTACCATAACTGTCATGATTTAAATCTAACTGGCTAGGGTAGAGAGAACACATAATTGTAAATTGAAAGCCATGTGCTTTCTACTTAAAAAAAAAACCTGTAGTCTTTGTTTAAAATGTTCTTCCAATACATTTATAAGGTGTCTTCCAGCTGACATAAAAACATACCCACAATAATAATAACACTACCCACAACCCTAGCCTCAACTTAACCCTGGGGTTAGAGAACTAACTCTAGCTATGTAACCCTAGCTTGGCCCTAACCATACTTCTGCGTGATCCTTTGTCCATGCTAGTGTTTAAGTGCGGTGTGTCTTATTTAGCATTGTGTAATGTTATTCTTCATTGTTGGTGGATAGCGCTGCATATTTTTGGGTTTTGGATCTATTTAGTGGTTCATTTGGTGGCCCATTAAAAAACATTTTCAGTTTACATTTTCTTGTGGCAGTATTAGCTCATCTCATGGTCTCGTTTCTTAGAAAGTGGACTAGAGGTAAAATCCACCTTTAAAAAAAAAAAAAGAATACCGTAAATGCATACATCTTTGTAAAGGAAAACATGTGCATTTATAATTTTTTGCATTGGAGCCAGTAAACTATTACAACTGCGATCAGTGGATTGAGGCTGCAGTATCATGCAAATTCTCTGTACACTGCAGAATGAATAGACTACAAGTGAGATGATGGGGGATTGGGGTGAGGGGGTGGATGGGGGTGCAATGTGACCATATTCTATGTTACACCCTGAAAATGGGTGTAACATGAAATATGGTCTAAAAGTTAAACTTAGCTTTTAAGACACTGCTCTGGTTTTCAGAAGCAATGGTTCAGGGTGTATGGTAATGGTTTCACTGTCTGTGCTCCATTTCCTTCACTTGCTGTCCCTCTCATACATGTGTCACTGTTTGCTGACAATCCTAAAAGGTTATATTTTCCCTCACTATCACTTGTAGAGACAGCAGTAAGCAGGACAAATAGAGGAGGTCAATCTCCCCAGAAAGGACACAGACAGCAATAAAAGCCTAACAAGGGCACTAACATTTCCTCAATGTATCCAAATACAAACAAAAAGAGTTTCAGCTATACATATACTTAAGATTTCAAAGAACACAGCAGCTTGTTTTTAATAAATAGTTTCTCGAGCGTGTTATAGAAACTTACAAGTGCCTCCAAAACACGACCTGTCACAAAACAAATACCTTTGAAATTCATCAAGCTTATTCATTCTTCTTAAACTTGACTTCCATCTTCAGGCTTCAGGATTGTATGAAACTATTTTTAAATGATTCAATAAGCTACACAGCACTGGCAAAAATGAAGTACCTTATGGCAGTGAATCAGAACTCATATTTCATTGATTTGACCGTAGCAAGATGAAATGCGATTGCTTGTTGTTTTGGCACAGCATCACTGGTCTTCGCATTGCCTTACTAAAAAGTCCCCATTGCTTTACCTTTCTTCCACCTTTTGTCATATGCAACAAGACTATAGCTTTGCCAGTACACCTAAGAAGTATTCTAGCACAAATCTAGTATACATGTGATCAGTTTGCTAGGAACTGGTGATTTCTTTGAGGCATTACCTAGGCAATTTCCTGGATTTATGACACTGTATGAAGATAACTCATTTGGATTGATGCGCACCAAGTACAGTCTGGGAATATTAATTTTAAGGCCATGTTTCAAGAGATTTTAAAGGAGAAATTATTAGGGTCTATAGTCCTAAATTGCCTTGGCTCTCCTCAATAAATGTCAGTGGCACAAGTAGGAATTAAAGGTTAGAGTGAGAATGCTGGGTTACTCTTTGGTGAGGAGATGCTGTTATATTGTCATTAAGGTCAGAAAACATATACAGGTGAAACTCGAATAATTAGAATATCGTGCAAAAGTAATTGCAGTAAGTGCTTTTCAGAGGTCCGATATTGTTCTATGTACAATCCTTGTTTTATTGATTGCATGTAATAATCTACTTTTTTGAGGTTGTGGATTTGGGGTTCTTGGGGTTTTCATGAGCTGTAAGCCATAATCATCACAATTATGACAAATCACGGCTTGAACTATCTTGCTTTGCATGTAATAAGTCTATCTCATATATTAGTTTCACCTTTTAAGTTGCATTAGTGAAATAAATGAACTTTGCACGATATTCTAATTATTCGAGTTTCACCTGTATATTAATAAGTAAATTAATGATTTAGATTGTTGCAGTGTGATATTCACAAGCAAACTGGGGCCATGTTTTGAGCACTGACTAGAGCACCATGCTGTTTTAATTGCCACTTCTAGGCTGAGATATTTCTACTGAAAATTGGAGTTATTTTTTTTTTCAATTGCCTATGTAATTAAAGTAATCCACATGCATTCTGGTCTGAAAAATAGTGTCCTTTCCACATTGTTTTCCTTCATACTCATCTTCTTATTACTGGGAGTATGGTCCAACACTCTAAGCTGCTCAGTTATCCATCTAAGCAACATACTAGTATTACATACCTCTACTCATTTGTCCCAGATATTAACAACTATTAGGCATAAGTTGACCACTGCATATGATTTTTTTTATGGTGGCACAATCACACCTCCCAGACAATGTGGTTAGAATTCTGTTTTAAAGAACATTTAAAGGCTCTCTGGTAAACAACAGCTTGGCTATAACATGTCAGTTATTGTATTTTAGCATTGAGATACCTATGTATCGCGATTTTCTTCCAAGAGCAGAACTGCTAGTATATTTTATGAGTTTTGCAGCAGGAAGACACTGATAAGTAGCCCCTCCCCAACGAGAATTAGGCACTGTGTGAATGTACCTCAAGCTTTTTTAGACTGAAGGCAAGTGAGGCAAAATGTGGTAATTACTGAACTAATTGAATACATTTCTAGTGCAGATATTTAGACAGCTCTATTAGCCAAAAGTGAGGTTATGTGCATTCATAATATGACATGTTCTTCTATGTCCTACCTTATACAGTACGTCAATCTAAAATACAGATTCTTTCTATGACTGTATCATGGAATGACAAGTTGTGTAACTTCCTGACATCCATAACCATTTTTACATTGCAATGACCTCATAAAATAATAAAGTAAACATTTCCATGACTTAAAGTTTAAGTTACACAGCTATTGCCACCATTTACTAAGTCATGTCCCTAATATTGGGGAAAATACTGTAGCCTATTAAATAAGAAGGACAATACATAAGGATACTGGTGCTCAGTTATAATGCTTGCTTTTGTGTAGTGCACCATGATGTAGAATTCCACCAGATTTCTTGCCAAAAACCTTGATTCCACAAGCAAACTGGTGGCAGTCGATTATCTTCTGCTTTGAGTTCATCAGTGAGAGCTTCGGCGGTCTCATTTTATACAGTGTCTAATTCAAACTTTTGTTTTCAAGCACAGTCTGTTCCTGAGTCTACTGGTTGGAGTACCAGTGACCTTCAGTAGTCTTTGCTATCTCCATAGTCATTGCTCAACACAATGAGCATTTGTTCCTCACAGTTCTTTCGCAGGTCTCTATTCAGTTCTGTCCAGTTTAATGCATGAGGTTTAGGCTCATTGTAGCGGCAGGCAAGGTAGCGCAATGAAGAACGTCTCAGGCTTATACGTGGTTCTCCCAAAAGATAGCTGCACCGAGGGCTCAAGGCATCCAGCTGAGATAATACTAAGCCAGCTTTCCTAAAAAGATGGAAAAACCAGGATGAAAAAGATGATCACTTCCTTATGTGTATTCTTACATTGGTTTTATCTATTCTATTTGAAATGACGAGATATGAAAACATTTTATTCACCAAAAGAAAGCAATGAAAATGTTCAATGTGCTCCTGAGAAAAGTTTTCATAACTGACACCAGGTAATAATATGAATTCCTCACTCCTCCATCTTCTTAGTAAAAGAAAGGTACAAACTAGCAAAAGCTAAACACAAGCTGCCTTTGCTGGCCTCCTTCTCAAAATGCTAGTTGCTTCTGGTTCAGTGTTTTCTGATTAACTAAACAAGTATGTTGCAAGTCAGAAATTCTGATCTGTATACTTTTTCTTGATTTTCGTGACTTAGAATGTATTAAACCAACTGGATTGGAACCACAACCAGGAGACTAGTATTTTTAGAAGCAAAGCTCAGCAATAGCAACTAAAATATTTTGATCATAGCTGGTCTCCAACAACACTTTTGAGTATTTTGATGTAAACAGTGCACATAACATTCACACACTGTGCAGTACATGTCATGTACGAAGCTATTCTGTTCCATTATAATATCAGAGATACTTTTGAAATGCCCTGACCTCAGAAAGAAGGCCACAAATAAAAACAAAACTGAGAAAATGTGAGAATTCTGAGATGTATTTTAGAAATCTTGACTGTGGAAAAGGTCTGCTAAGCTCAGTGCCACCCCATTCACTACTGGTCAGTAAGGCTGCCTATCTCAGTGATTAGCTAATAGAGATGCACAGGAGGGGGACCAGCTGAACTTCCCAAATGAAGCTGAGGTTTGCATAATAAAGACTGCTAAGGCTATGTGAGTTATTGTATATTTCATATAAATTAGTATGGTAAAAATAATCATGGTAAACTAAAAATAATCATTGACTTGTTTGTGCTTTACTCTGGCCAATTTTCAGCTGTCTAAACCTACTACAGCTTATCATATCTATTATAAATTTCTACTCAAACCCTGGAAACCCTGATTTGGAAAAAAACTCTCAAGCTCTTTGACATTGAAAAATCAACATTAGCTTATTCCTTGTGCTCTTCTGCTGTTCAGTTTTGTTGAGATGACGGTCACCAGATCCAGGATCTCATGTCTATGGGTAGATACAGAAACTGTCAGCCAACTGCTGTCATGGAAAATGAGTAAGTGGACAACACTAGAAGTGTACTCCCTCCAATTTTTCTGCACTCTTCTCTTCCCTCTCTTGTCACATAAACTTGTATGCTTACAGAGCCAAGTTTCCAAACTTTACAGAGTTCTCTGCAGATTTCTGAATACAGTTTGGCTTGAGAGAAGTTAGATTGTGCCTGCATATCTAATTACCCTATAAAGTCTGTGGCCTGCTTAAGTTCATTAGGAAAGCAAACAATATTTTGAAAAGTGAAACTCTGGGGTTGATTTACTAACCTTATAAACACGCCACAAACAAGTATACACCTCTGTAGTGTGTTCCCTCCCAGCATGATCTATTGGTGGAATCTAGACACCTTTGTAGTGTGTACACACCCAGCAGGTAAGTTGTGCAAAGCCCTGCATGAATAGCAAGGTGATGTTGTGTAAATTAGCTCTACATTGTGTTGCTTGCGTTGATGAATGCAGGAATGTAAATGCATGAGCTAACCATTTTTGTCTAAACTGGGAAGCAGCATTATATATGCATCATGTGCATGATTTTTCCATATATGGCATTAGTGGAAATATGATTTTAGAGACCATTTGGTTGATAAATACGTTTTGCTGTGTAAAAATCATACGCACCTAGTGCGTGCTTGTGTTTAGGTTAGTAAATCACCCCCTCTGTGTCTATGTAGCTGCATGGCCCATACAAATCTCCTTTCTCTACATTGTGCTAAATTGTATGTGCTGCTGAAGGCTCAGCTACACGAAAGGTCAGGGCTGGTGTTAGGGGCCCAGCCATGTGCAGCCTCTTCGACAGTGGGGCCTGGGCCCAGCAGGGGCTGCCTGTGGGTGAAACCAGTGCAAAGAAAACTCTGCTGGAATGACCTTGTTGGAGCACCGGCAGAAGTAACCACAAGGGAGGGGGTAGGGCCACCTGCTGGATGCATTGTAGTAGAGAGGAGAAGAACGGAATGTGGCAAGATGGATCTCCCAGAATTCAGCTTGTATGTATTATGGCCTCTGAGCACAGCTCTCCTGCACCCCTAGTCTCATTTACCTTGTACTTCCACCGCTCCTCATGTGGCCCCTGAGCATAGTCACCTTCATGCCTCTACACATTCCCTGAGCACACCCCTGTGGCTCTCATTCACCTCATGCCTTCCTTGGCCTACTCTGGCCCCTGGGAAGATTTAATGTGGGGTATTTTAGTGGAGGTTGTTGGTCAGGTCCTCATGAACCCCCTTCCTTGCTGTGACTCAAGGCATTAGCTGACCTGGTGGCCCCTTCCTCATTCTGGTTACCTACAGACTCCATCTGTGGCCCCAGTTACAGCTCCTCCAGTCTGGAGGCCCCTCACTGTAAAAATTACACTCAGGTGACTAATTAAACCTTTCCTTCGGTGGCCCCTGGCGGGTATAAGCTTTGATAATTGAGCCTATTGTCTGCAAACACCACCTGGCCTACTGATCTCAAGGAAAGAGTAAACCCCCAAAAATGTCAGAGACACAGATATTTGTAAACATATACAATGGAGGTGTCTACAGATGATAGCAATCAGTCCATGCACAATCTGGCCACCATTTAAATGAAATAATTAATCATTGTACAAACACACATGTTGACATCTTATATATTTGTATGTTTGTGGTTATGGAGGGGTCTGCAGGAGTGCGGCAGAAACCAGCCAGTAACAGGGAAAATCAGAAGTCATTGGCCAGTAAAATCCATCTTAGCAAATCCATTCTTCTCCTGAGCAGGCATTAGGTTAAGTGACAGAAGAACATTCCCTCATCTGACTGTACACAGCTGGATCTAAAGAATGATCTCTAATGTATATAGGCAGACTTGTGCTTGTACTGCCCTTTAGGTTTGAACACAAATCATTCTAAAGAATTACTCTTTAGTGTTTGGATCTTTCAGCCACCCTTTCATGTTTATAGGCACCGAAACTACAAAGACGTTAAACAACACAATTCTACTTAAATATGCATAAACAGCATGCAATAATAACAAGGGGTACCTTGGACCAAGCTCATCCTCACACCGCCAAGTGAACTCCCCAAAGCTCTGAAAGTGCTGGTTGTAGTGAAAACGTACTCTGTGCAGGCTGGGGGAGCCAAGTTCCAGCAGTGTGTTGTATGCCGTCTGTTGTTCTTTACCGCTGGTATAGCCGTTGAAAAGGTTGTAGATTTTATCAGCAACCTCTGTGGGAAAGTAAAGTTATCAGCTAAGAAAGTATATTACACATTGCATTCTTAATGACCCATGCTTCTCAACTCATCTCCATCTTCATTATGACCACAAAAGAGTCTACAGTGACTTAAGTCATCTCTTAATACTTGCTGCCTTTCCCAAACTCATTATTTTTTTTAACAGCAGAAATTAAAAGTTCAAAAGAAGATATAGAGGAGAGGCACTGAAACAAAACAATAACCCATTCTAAACATTCTCTATCATCTTTAACAGTTTATTAACTTCAGTCTTAATTATATTTAATTGGTTGCCAAAGCAGCTAAACTGCAGGAATCGCTGTAACAAATACCACTGAATATACAAAATATAGCAGTTAAGGTCATGCAACTGGAGGAAGAACATTCAAGCAATTTATAACATTTAATTAATTAGAATTGCCAAGCAATCCGCTTGCAGTTACTAGAACAATTTCAGGCATTCGGGGATTTCATGAGGCAGAAACATATCTGGGATAAGTAATCAAGCTTGTCTTTTTTCAAAGGCCCCTTGCATGATAAGTTGCTGAATATGAATCAGCCATTGGGGGCTCATTACACAATCAGTAGCTGGAAGCTTACCATTGAGACCCAGGAGTCCTATGGATTACGCTTCCTGCAGCTATGGAACCTAGTGCGGCACAGATTATACAACTCTTCCATGATAGTACAGGAAAACTTTTAGACAGGGAAATGATAAACATTTCCCTGTCTAAAGCTTTACCTCTGCTACCTCTGCTACTTTTTACAGTGACTGCTCAATAATTTATTTCTGTGATAGAAGAAGGCCTTTTCAACTGTCATGGCAAACCTATCATTTTTAAAATCAAAATCGACTCAGGTGGAAAATATCATCTTGACTTCCTTGCTAAACTATTTAGGTAATGGAATTGCCCATCTCTACATGACATAGGGGCATGCTACAGCAAAGTTAGCAATGGCTAACAAAAGCTCAGCTCACAGACAAGGTCTATTTCTATCAACCAGATATTTTTTTTGTTCAAATAAGTTGTCAATGAGATTATTCTATTCTAAAAGGAGGCTTACACCAATAGCTACATTGGCAATATAACCCCATACCAATGTAATTTCAGAACAGAACCTTTACTTTGTAAAAAATAGGGTCCCTGCGCCTTAAACAGGTACATACATGTGGATGAATAAAATAAAGATTAGTAGCTGTGTGAATAGGCATGCCTCAAAAAACACGGCATCCTATTGTCCGGCGGCTCTGCTGCTGTAAAAATAAAAAACTAAAAAAAAAATCCCCAGGGCGCTCTGGGAGCCCCCGCTCCCGGCCGTAGGATCGGCTGAAGCTACGGCCAGATCCTTCGGCAGCTTCGTGAATAGACCCCTATATTTTTTATTTATATAAATCCCCCTTCCCCCCTCAATGAATAGTAAGACGACTAAGATTGAATAACAAACATATTTTAAACCAAATAGATCTCAATGAGCTCGTCATTTGAAAAGTAGATCTCCAGACGAAAAATAGTGGGCGCCCCTGAAGTAGACCATCTATGAGCACTGGCTGGTGTATCAAGAAGAAGGGGCCCACAAATAATCTGTGTTGCTGTGCCTTAAAAAAAATGTGCAGGTGGGAGGAGATAAATTTCCCAGTCTGAGTTTATAGCAAATTGTGTAGTGGAGGAAACTTAATTCAAAAACTTTTTTGGAAGAAACCTGAACTCAAAAAGTGAAGGTTTGCTATGTTATAGGGAGTACATACACGTGTTATTTGTGCTTAAGCAGTTACCTGAAAGATTTATCTATTGTTTTGAATTAGTTTAAAAGAATGGCAGCACATTTTCAGCATCTAGGTACGCCTGTGCATTTAGCCTCGTAGCTGTATAACTGTAGTGTACTAGGCTCACCAGATTTCAAGTGAGATTACGTGATATCACTCCTGCGCTGCTCTCTGTTCTTCCTTGCTGGAGAGCAAGCTGTACTTGTGGACCTGCAGTATAAGGATCTCCCTGCTTCTTTAAACATTCTGTGAATCTATGCCTTCTCCATCTTTCCGGCTGCTTCTTGAGTATTCCTCCACCAGTCATCAAATCATCAGTAATGAGGGGGGAAGCTCTAACATGAGAATGCAAAGCCCTGCCAATACCAAGATGACTGCCTTCACACATAGACAGTGAAGAACAAGGCATAGTAAGTCAGTAATGGGGAAAAGACCAGCTGCAGGGAGCCCAAATGCAATACTGGTTATTAGTGCTTTGCCCTTTTTTTGTGAACAGCTTCCACAGTTTTCACAGTTCAGGTCCTCTTTAACTTAAGATGATAATCAGATGTTTTAATGTATTTTTTACAAATGTGAATGGGGTATAGTTTTTATTTTTTTTTTTGAAATTTTAGAGGGGGGGGGGGGTGCTTAACTGATTTTAATAATTTTTTTATAATTTGGACACTGAGAACTGAGAACGCGGATGTTAATCTAATTTTAGTCCTTTAGACGGAAACATAAAAATCACCGTCAGTTTTGGGTAGAGGGGTTTGACATTTCTTTTGTAACAAATGATCAGTGTCCCAAGATTCCAAATTGTTATTAAACACAGAGGCTGGAAAACCCCTTTAAACCTTTCCATACATGATCTATGCAGAAGAATGCACTCACATCAGTCCCAGATGCTGAAGTTACATTTGCGCATCAATCTTCTCTTTCAATTCTGACATTTGTGTATTTTTTTAGATGCATTTTAGATGTTTTCTCTCTGAACATCTACTACCTATTAATTTATTTACAAGCCAGAGCACTTTGTAATGAAATATGTAGAAGTTGATGGGTGGCTTAGCTTCATCCTTAGTACAAAATCTCAACTTCTACTCAGTATGCCATACCATGAACCTGGACCCACTGTGAGGACAATTGTGGAATCATAAACAAGAAGAAGAGTACAGACTTTAATGCAATCCTCTGCATAAGTGTACAAGAAAGCATTACAGCCATGTCCCCAGGTATAGTGTTGACCTTCTATCTCTGGGAGGAGAAATGTGTATAATACAGTGTTCTCTGCATTAATAATACATAGATCAGGGAAAAAATAAGTGCACACAGAAAACAGGAACACATGAGAGTCTGAAAAGTCATACAGAAGCCTTAGAAGCTGGAAGCATTGTTTATATGCAAATTATGTTTTTGTGTATGTGTAAATTCATTAGACATGTGCGATTCGTTTAGTTACGAATCGAAATTCGTACGAATTTCCTGAAATTCGTAAATTCGGAAGCATCCGAAATCCGAATTGCAGTTTCCGAATTATATCCGAAATACGAAATTTCGTTAACGAATTCCGGATCTGAATTTCGTTGAAACGGGAACTAATATTACCCCTGTAAATGAGGTTGAACAACATGACAAGATTTTTTTTTATCCGAAATACGAAATTCGGATCCGCTGCTGCTGAGGGTTGCATTACAATACAGGCAGGAAATACGAAATTCTGTTAACGTATTTTCGTTCCGTTACGAACATTCGTTATGATGAAGTTAAAAAGCAAAATACCTTTGTTAATATTGGAGTTGGTGCCTTGATGGTAGTTTTTTTTTTTATCCGAAATTCGGATCTGAAATAAGTTAAGGGAATTTCGTATTTCGTTTGGTTGACCAATCAGAGGTTTTTTGTTCTGCTGCTGAGGATTGCATTACAATACAGGCAGAAAATACGAAATTCCGTTAACGTATTTTCGTTCCGTTACGAACATTCGTTATGATGAAGTTCAAAAGCAAAAATACCTTTGTTAATATATTGGAGTTGATGGTAGTTTTTTTTTTAATACGAAATACGAAATTTGGATCCGAAATCCGTTAACGGAATTTCGTATTTCAGATTAAAAAAAAAAAACTACCATCGACTCCAATATTAACAAAGGTATTTTTGCTTTTTAACTTCATCATAACAAATGTTCGTAAAGTTACGAAAATGTGACGAAACTAACGAAAATTCGTATTTCATACGAATCCGAATTGAGTTTTGGACACGAATTACGAAATACAAAATAACGGATATTCCGAAACGAAACAAATTTTCTGACGGCTCACAAGTCTAAAATTCATCAGGATCACCATATTATGACAGAGGTGTCAGAAAAGATGTTATAATGAACATGCCACTGTATTAATGATAAGAATATAACTATTACCTTGTGACTTTACATCATCCACCTCTGGACAGGGCATTCGGACAGTGACATGGCTTGGTTCTGACCGTCGTCCAGTATTATCCACTCCCCATAGTGTGAACCTGGTCAGGTCATGCAACAACAAATAATTATGTTGACTCTGACAGAGAGCATCCTGCAAAATGTATTATGTCATGAAACAAGATGGGTTAAGGGGGAACTTTAAAGCTTCCTATATTGGAAGCTGTAAATTATATTACCAAGTACAGTTTAAATTGAGTAGGCCTGAGGCAGGGTACAGAGCTTATCATACTTTGGCCAAAATAAGACCTCAACTTGAATAGATATTATGAAAGATGATCAAATGGAAGCGGTATGAAAAGATTAATTTACCAAACCGGGGGTTATTAACAAGCCCTTCAGTCCCAAGGCAACAGTATGTCACCCGTTAAATAATACAGGGACTATTAATAGCAAAATCTATTAACCTTTTTTCCCCACAATGCTCTATAATAATTCACTTCACTGATTTCCTTTATTAATGTTAAAGATGGGCAATTTAAATGAAAATTGAATTGAAGCATTTTAACTGGCAGAGTTTGACTCCATTATTGGCTTGATTATAAAAACAGAGGACAGGTGGCAGAGGGAGAGGACAGAGCTTACGTGTAGGAAGTGTCGGACTCCAGGCAGCGGACCACAATGGATATCACTGAAGAATGTTTGTCAGGTACTTGGGCTGGCATCACACATGGAGATTTGGCTCCTGAGATGATGTCTTCAACAAAACTCAGCACGTTTTCTGAGTACCAAAAAAGAGGAGGAAAACGATGGAGTATTCTAGTTTACATAAAGTTATACAATCCTCTCTTAAAACTCTTAAAGGAAACTAGAGTGTATTTTCAGTATTCATGAATTTAGAGTTATTACTGTAACATTTACCTAACTAATTAAGTAATTTGTGACATGGCTTTTAATTGTTAATTTGCTTGCTGTTCCATAATCTGGTTATTGCATTTAAAGAAGAACTCAGGGCAGAAGAAAATGTAACCCTTGCAGTGGGGCTACCCATGAGTAAGATATGCTCACCCGAACCTCGATTCCGCAGCCTCTCTCCCCCCTCCGCTCCAGCGATGTAATGTTTATGACGTTCTATACAGTGTATTGGACGTGATGACTCACAGGTTCTTAAATGGCTGGAGCGAAAGGGGGAGAGAGGGGTGGGCCAGGGACAGTAAGGCTGGGGAGGAAAGTGATAGATGATAATGCACAGTCTTTCAGCCAAGAACTAAGATGGGCTTTATCTGACTTGCTGCAGCCTCTAATGCACATTGTGAGAAGATCAAAGTGTTTAGAGGAATCAGAGTAAATAATTTCATTACAGGAGAGGAGCCTGTACATCTGCAAAACTGAAGGGAAGTCTTAGGCTTTAATATCATTCAGACGTTAGCAGCATCACATAGAATGACTAATACAAGAACATTTACACAATGATCTCTATGAATGGATATAAGATACATATATCCTGCAAAAGTTGCTAGTATAAGGAAGAAGAATAAGGCATGGAGTAAATAAACCTGACCCATGCAATTAAACCTTTGGAGAATTGAAAATTATTTTCAATTAAAAAATTTAACAAACACCCCACAGTGCTGAACCTCCCGCATACATTATCTTTTAGTTCATTGACAGTAAAGGCTTTTATTCCCAGCAGGACTACAATGACTGCAATTTTCAAGCAATGGTGACATGTATACAGATAACGTCCTAGTTAAAGTGTATGTAAACTCTAACAACGAACTTCTCTTATTTGCTCCCTTTTGGTCTGTCAAATATACCATTGAGAATATCTCTTCTTACCCCTAATTCTTTTTCTCCTTTCTTCCTTTACTTTCCTTTCTTCTACTATTCTTTGGTTAAGACATGCTAAGAATCAATGGCTGGACAGACATGGGACTCCATAAACAGTACATTGCTATTCCAGATACAGTATTACTTGCCTAGTTTATTAGAATTAATAAAGAGAAGGGAAACAACCATGGATTACAGTAAGGCACACATTACAGTATTGGTTTATGTTAAAAAATCTGAGAGTTTAATGTCACTTTAATCCTGCCAAAAATCTTGTGAGCTGATGACTTCCTGTGCTCCCTGCCTCTGCTGACTGCTATCAATAATAATGCTACACAGCTCTCTGTGGACTTCAGAATACCTCCTCTTGTTTTGGAGAAGATAGGGAAAGGTGTTCTGTGGTCCTAGTTGCTTTTCTGTAGATACAGGTAAAGTGGAGTAAAGGTTAAAAAATGTTGATTGGTTGATTTTCAATGGATGCCTCTTCTTCCAAGCTTCTCTTACCATTCAGTAATTTTTTATACTGAATGTGCACAGACCCAGCATGCCAAGTGGAAGTAACTTTGCACATGTGCGGCAATTATGTCATCAGAGCCCGGCCAATCAAGCGTCCCAAGAAGAGGACCGAGCTCAAGATGGAAGCGCCAGAGAGGGAGAAGTGTATCGCCAGAGGGGATTGGTTGCCAGCTAAGTCTGCCATAATGTGCTAATTTACAGTCTATACACCCACATTATGACGAAAAGCTCCTGGGGAGCCATTTTTTCCCTTAGCTTTACTTCCACTTTAATGTTGTCACCTTAGCACAGGAATTGTGTTACTGGCAGGATCAGCAGGTGAATAATAAAGAAAAGAAAGCTTGAACAAGGAAAATGAATGCAGCCACCACATCTGAAGACTGATGAGCTACAATATATTACATTTTTGTTTTTGGGTCAAGGCTTTCAGTTGTCTGTAAATATTAAAGAACAGAGAATGTACCATTCTATAGGAGATTACCTGTTTCCATTTTGGAATGGTCGAGTTTGTCAGCATTTTTCTCCTGGCTGATGATGTAGTCCACTATTCTTGCTCCAATCGGAGACTCTAAATGCTGCCACTCCAGCACCAGGAGGGAACTGCTGGGTTCCTGCAGCATAGAAAGGTGAATCCTGAGAAGAAGGGAAAGAAAGACTTGAATCTTGGCTGAGTGAATAAGAAGCAATGATTCTCTGCTAGCAAAAGATGACATTGACCAAACTTGACAAGCAGCACTGTTATGTAGTATGTTCAACAAAACATGTACACTTATTCTCAATGGCTTGAGGCTAAATCACTGGATCACAAGTAGTGGAAAGCAGGATGACTATGTGACCCAGGAGACAGTTAGACTGTACGGCCCATGGCGCTTGAGTACTAGAACAATGAAAATTGGCAAAGGCGGCAGAGGAAGCCATTAATGCCCCATATAGTACATTTATCCTGCTGTAGGTTATTATGATTTGGTGTTGTTAAAAAAAAAATTGACATTGTATAGGTGAGTTACATTATAGCTTTTTGGCTTTTGTTTGACAGTATATTTCTTTATTGACAGTTTACAGCATTGAAATGGCTCTGTCTCTAAATGAGGCAAGCCACTGTTGAAATCAAATGTGTAAACTACCAGCACCAATTATAAAGGGTACATTTTTTAGGATGCAATGATCCAATATACTATAGCTGACAGTATTCAGACACACATTATAAATTAATGGAATTGGCTATTTAAGCCATATCTATTGTTTACTTAGGCATATTGAAATGCGTTGAGAAGGTTGTTCTCCCCTTTAGCACCAGGACTTATACTGATGGATTCACAATTTGGAATTTCTGTGCATCCAGTGATATAGCACAGTGGTGATGTAGGGGGCTTACCACATAGAGAATAATTTCATTTTGTACCTTTCTAACTGGTCTTCAAGGCCTTGTGTATGCTCAGAGGGTTTTTTTTTTTTTTATACGTTTTATCAATTATTTTGTGATTACTAAAAGATTCTATTGGACTTATTGTGGTTAAGAGTATGACCTTGTTAGCACCTGGAAAGCTTGTTGTTTATTCAAAGGCGATTGATACCTATATAAAGAAAACCTAAACAGTTTCATATATTTACACTAGCTAATAGTACATATTAATTGAATACTGAAATACATGTTAAACAGCAGTAAACACCACTTGATGCCAGAGGACTACATGCTGTAAATAAAGTTCAATAGCGAAAATTCTGATACACTAGTGGACTAATTCATGATAAATATGGAGGTGTTGCCACAACAGTCATTTAGTACCCATGGTTTATTTTCCCATTACAGCTCGAAGAATGAAAACTAATGTGTGATCTTTGCCCTATTCTTTAATTTATCAGCTACTCTGCTGTATGGTCTATTCCACAACACAAAGATAGTGTAGTATAGTGGTAGATAGATAGTGATAGAACGTAGTATTAATAATTCATATCTAGATCAGGTTGAGAAGCTTAACTTCCTAAAAATGCAAAAAAAAAACAAAACAAAAACTTTTCTTAGTCACTATTTGAAATTCTTTGTAATGATGTTGCAATCTCTTTGGGGGAGAAACCTTGTTCTGATTATATTCTAATGTATGAATATTGAGTAACTTGGCACTTTTGTTTTGTTATTTAAATTGACAGTTCTCCATAAGCTGTAAAACAATGGACTCCATACTTCCACCTTATAATTTGCACTGCTGGAAAATGTATTCGCCATAATTATTGGCTTTTCATTACATAACCGTCTGATCTCTGGGAGCTGGTAATAGAATACTGCACAACCCAAATCCCTAGGAGTACATACAAGGCAGCTTTACAGCACACAAAACACGAAGATGGAACATGCAGACACACACAGCTTACAAAAGAGGTTTGCCAGGCTGTGATCCATAACTTAATAAAAAGAAAGATTATTGCTCATATCCCACAAAGCTCGGAGATGTGTGACACAGAACATGAGACAGAGGTCTGTAGAAACATAACTATCAATAAAACATGGTTTATTGCATCATATAAAAGATGAGACAGCTGCAAACAATGATCTGTTAGAGAGATGAGAGCTGCGATATGATGTGACCCTGAGGGAACAGAGGATGACAGTGATATCAGGGAGCAGGTGAAGGGACAGGAAACAGCAATAGGCATATTTATATAATTAGGAAGATAAAACAGAATTGGGTACATTGTGTTCAGGAAATGAGCACTTTTGTCCTTTTTACTGTGAATCTATGATGCAACATTCAAGGCAACTAAAATATAATTTTCTGGCAGGATCATCATGGGTGCTGCATCATTTGGGCCTGTAGGAAATTAGAGCAGCTTCTGTGCCTACAGTCCTGCCATGAACCAATCCTAAATATATAGTGAGCGTGCTTGTTGCCAACACCCCAGCTGCTTACACTTTTCTGAACATCCATATCTGTCTAGAGCAGCCTTTATTTAGCCCAAAGGAACCCTTGAAATAATTTAGAGGTCTTGGGGAACCTCCCAGCTAAACAAATATTATATCTACAGGTCATAAAGCATTAACATGATCAGTAAGATTTATAAGGATTTAGATAGAAGAATTAAAGATAGCATAACTAGAGGGTTTGATCCACGTGGATTATCTTACAACAATCCCCTGCTCTACAAGACAATAATAATTATATTAAACAAATAATGGCCAGAGGAAGACTGTGAAAAAATTAGTATATTCTTACACTATTGTTAGTGGAAAAGTGTCCCCTTACATTGGTGGTCAGTGGGGGAAAGCTGCACTGATTGCCAGTCTAGAAGTGACCCCTTACATTTAATTTTAGTGGGAAACTGCCCCCTTGTTTAAGAAAGCTTGCTCTAGAGGATGTCAACTTAATGTTCATACCATCTGAAAATACAGTCAGCAACAATGTTTGGGTAGGTGGTGTCAAAATAATATCCACATGAATGATAGTTCCCATGGTTTCCCAGTAGAACATTGCCCAAAGCATCACACTGCCTCTGCCAGCTTGCCTTTTCCCCATAGTGCATCCTTGTGCCCTCTCTTTCTCAGGTAAACGACACACAGGCACCACGCTATCCACATGATGTAAAAGAAAATGTGATTCATCAGACCAGGACACCTTCTTCCATTGCTCCGTGGCCCAGTTCTGATGCTCATCCATTGTAGGTGCTTTTGGTGGTGGACACAGGTCAGCAAGGGCACCCTGAGCGGTCTGTTGCTTCGTATCCCCATATGTAACATACTGTTCAGACACCTTTCTATCAGAACCAGCATTAACTATGTAACTTTTTAGCAATTTGAGTTACAGTAGCTCTTTAATGGAATCATGGTGCACGGGCTAGCCTTTGTACCCTACATGCATCAGTGAGCCTTGGCCACCCATGACCCTGTCACCGGTTCATTGGTTTTCCTTCCTTGGACCACTTTTGGTAGGTTCTGACCACTGCAGACTGGGAACATCCCACAAGAGCTGCAGTTTTGGAGTTGCCCTGACCCAGTTGTCTAGCCCTTCCAATTTGGCCCTTGTCAAAGTCGCTCAAATCCTTACACTTGCCCATTTTTTCTTTTTTTCGACACATCAACTTCAGGCACAAAATGTTCACTTGCTGCGTTATATATTCCACCCACTTCCTAGGGGCACTGTAACCAGATAATCAATGATATTCACTTCACCTCTCAGTGGTGGTCATAATGTTATGCCTGATCGGTGTAAACAACTGTAACACGTATACTTTCCCATGATCTGTCAGTTCAGTGACTAGCTCAATATGCTGTGATATGTAGGCGACAGCAAGTCACATTTAATTTGGCAAAGAACAATAAGGCATATGTCTTAATATCAGACAGAAGAACTGTCTTTGTTAGCCGTAACAGCCAATCAGTATTTTCTTCTCATTTTCAAACTACTTAGAAAAAGGATCAGGCAGTTTATCTTTCAAAAATGTTCATAGATGATGACCAGTGTGTGCAATTAACTCAACCAAAACCATAACAATAGCAATAGTCATCACTGTTGCCTTTAAAGTGTATGTATCTTTTTTTATTTGAATCCCCCCCAAAAAAGTATTTTTTGTCTGTTTGTGTTGCTGTAGGAGAATGCCCCTCAGTTTCTTAGTGGTGAAACCATTGTCAACAGAACAGGAAGTGGAGGTAAATTTCTCTAACTGAGCCCCAGATAACAGAAAAGTGGTTTCTAAACCCACTCTATCCAGAACTAAAAAAAAAAAAGAATAAAAAAAAAAGAAACTTAAAACGTTGAAATACAATTGTTGCTAAGAACTATTGCAAAGTATTTCTCTTTGCTCTTATTAAACAAGGTCAAGTGACACATATGGCCTTAAAACACTAAAAGTAAAGGGGATAAAAAACAAAGAGCCTTACACAGGTTGTGGTAACGGGGCGCAGGTTGGAAGTCCGTCAACACCAAAGGCAGAAGAATCACATCGACACCAATCTTCAATCACGTCTCCGCGGCCAGAGCACCAGAGAGAGCTGAGCACAGCTTCCTGCAGCAACTGAGAGACAGACAGACAGACAGCTGAGCACAGAACCCTGCAGTAACAGAAAGACAGACAGACAGCTGAACACTCAACTACTATAGGTATAATGCGGGCACAGATATAACATAATATTGGATCATGCAGGCATGAACACAGAGAACAAACAAATGTGTAGCTGTAGATAAAAACCTCCATCTGTTATGTAGGCAATTTGTATTTGTAGACAGGCTACAAGGATGGCTCTGAATGGTTTGCCCACAGTCTCTACCCTCTCCTTAGGTCACATTACCATAAATGTTAATACCATCAAGGCACTTCTCTTATTTGCTCCCTTTGGGTCTGGTGAGTATATAGTTGAAATATAAAAAAAAAAAATATTTGTTCAATAAGTGGATAAAAATACCTGTTGAACTTGTTGAAAATTAGAGCTGTCCTGATTCTTGTTCCTCTGTTATCTCATGTTGTGGAGATGAGGAAAGGGGGAGGGATTCAATAATTTAGCAAAAGACAATTGTGCATGGCTGACACTATTTTTTGTGATTTCAGGATTAATGTTTCTACAACACTTATAGCTACAGAGGTGATCAATGGATCTCTTTAAAGTGCTCTTACAGCGTGTTCAGTATATTAATACTTTATAAGTGCATAGTCTGGACACAGGTTCACTGCAAAAAGCACTTTCTTATAATATAACCATTAAGGTGCAGGGGCGGACTGACCCATCGGGCAGTCGGGCAAGGCCAGAGGGCCCGCGACCAGCATGGGGCCCGCAAAAAAATATGAAAAAAATAATAAAAAAATGTAAACAATTATTTTAAAAAAGTGAAAACTGCCCCCTCGCCCCCCTCCCCCCCACATATTATTAGACATGTGCGAAGACTAAAAATTTATTTCAGATGAAATGAACGAAAACCAACAAAGTTTTCATTTGTTTCATCAAACAAAACACATTTTTATGCTATTTTGGATTCAGCCATTGGCGTGTTCTGGAGGCAGGGCGCATGACGTCATATAACACCGCACGTGTTGGGCACTGAGTATACACCAAGATGGTGGGGCCAATATCGGTGTGTGACGTCACCTGACGCCACGCATGCATGGCGTTATGTAACGTCATGCTCCCTGCCTCCAAGATGGTGGCACGCATTCACAGAACACGCCGGTGGCCAACATGGCCGCTGCACATTCTCAAACAAATTCTTATTATTATGTGCCTGAATAAATTTTTCGTATATGCGGACATATAGTAATTCATTAATTTTACATGTAGTCCGGGTTTTGTGTTCTGTTTTTTATTTATACTTTTCTAGATATACTGACTTGAAAAAAGGGTCAGCATGACATCCTGACACTTTATTTGTATAGACTCTTTTTTAGTTTGACATGTATTTTTTACCTTCTGTTGTTTTATTTGATAAGAATACTTATATTGTACCGACAAGTTTAATACCTTTGAATAAAAGTTTCATTTTTATCATAGTTTTTAATATGTTTCTTTGCGGCTTAACAAAATAGGAGTCTTTAAATGGTGCGGATATTGGGGAAAATGGGTGTGGTTACAGGGGGGGTGGTCACTAAAGGGTGTGGCCACTGAGGGGTGTGGTCACTGAGGGGCGCTGTAAAGCTTTCTCGCACAGGGCGCCTAAAGGCCTAACTAAGGCCCCATTCACACTGAGCGACTTGCGATATTGAGCGATATTGAGCGACGAGATGTGAACAGCTCCATTGAAATGGATTGGAGAAGCTACATAGAGCGATATCGCGTGGAAATATGAGCGATATCGCTGCAAAAATCGCTCGATAAATCGCTCAGTGTGAATGGGGCCTAAGGCTGGCCCTGGGGCCCGTGACCAGGCCTGCCGAAAGGGGTGTACAGGCAGCTGCCCTGTACCAGGCGGGCCCCATCAAGTGAGCGTGTGAGCGGGGACCGAACCCAGCACGGGCTAGGGGAGTCTGCCTCCACACATCCTGTCAGCGCCGATACTAGGTGGGGCATATGATATTATTCAGCCAGGGTGGACGATGTCCCTCTCCCTCTGCAGGTACTGCCAGGGGACCTGAGGGCGCTGGGGAAGGGGGGCCTAGAAGGTCGGGCAGAGATTCAGCCGGGAGTGAGACGATACGACCGGAGGACGGAGGAGGCAAGCTGTCAGCAGGTATGAGGAGCTCTCCTGCACTCACAGCTTCTCCTATACACTATACATTCCGGCCGGGAGCAGCGTGGGGAGGGGGAGGGGGGGATTCTTCTCCCTATCTCAGCCTTCTCCTCTCTTCCTCCCCTGGCTTCTTGAACTATAAGCAGACTGCATAGTAATGCTGTGTGTGCGTGTCCTGCATTGTGTGTACTGTATTGCGTGTGTATTGCGTGTGTATTGTGTGTACTGTATGTGTATTGTGTGTGTGCTGTGTGTGTATTATGTGTTGTGTGTGTATGCGTATTAAGTGTTGTGTGTGTGTATTAGGCCTCATCCACACTGGGAGCACACGTCCATTCAGCGTGCACACCTGTAAACAGTTGATCCCGGGAGGGAGAGGTGCTGCGTGTGATTGCGCGCAGCAGCCTGTTCTCCTCTTTGGGAAGACACGGCTGTACGGTGTCATCCGTGTCTGATGAACCTTCTCTGCGTCCAAGCGCGGAGCCCCCGTACCCGCATAGATGTGAAGTCCAGTTGTTCGTATGACACCGTACAGCTGTGTCCTCCCATAGGGAAGAACAGGCTGCTGCATGCAACCACATGCAGCACCTGTCCCTCCCGGGATCGGCTGTTTACAGGCGTGCACGCCGCATGGACATGCATGCCCAGTGTGAGTGAGGGCATGTATGCCCTTATGTGTTATGTGTGTACTGTATGTGTTTTATGTGTGAGGTTTGCCGTACGTTGGTTTTGGTCTGAGGTTTGCTGTACGTTGGTTTTGGACTGAGGTTTGCTGTGCGTTGATTTGTACAGCGATCATTCCTAAATTGTAGAGGATCTTCAGGGGTGGGCAAACTCTGGATCCGTAACTGTGGTGGAGCTCCAAGACCCATGATGCATTGCAAGACTTTTGCATATACATGACGCCCACAGTCAGATGCATGATGGGATTTGTAGTTTTACCACAGCTAGATGAATGACATTTGCCCACCCCTTGTAATAATGCATTGGGTGGATTTTATATGGGTGAAGCCCAAGAGGGCCCCATAATCTCTTATTGCCCGGGGGCCCCATATGTTGTCAGTCCACCCCTGTTTAGGTGTACACTTAGAATGGTATGTACAGACAAATGGGAACTCCTTATATCTTTACGAATGCGACAGTGCCGTCCGTCCGTTTTTCTACTACGGGCGGACGGCAACTGGTTAATTAATGTATTTATTACTAGTATTTATATAGCTATGACAATTTATGCAGCGTTTTACAAACTACACATTCACATCAGTCCCTGCCCTGAAGGAGCTTACAATCTGAGGTCCCTATTTTCACACGCATACAGGGCCAATTTAGACAGGAGCCAATTAACCTTCCATCGTGTCTTTATACCTTCATATCGTCTAATTAGCAACCTGTGATCCTAACTCCAAAATAACACAGCCTTCTCTTATGTGTTCACACAGATGTGAACACATAACCAAATATTTCCATACAGAATCCAACAGTTACAGAAAAAACATGTCAATCTACGTTGTCACTCTGATTTCCATGCAGATTAGGAAAAAAAATATTAAATTCATCAAAGATCTAATCAGGCTTCACCAGAAAAGACATCTTTCACTGCAAATAGTAATCATTTTATATTAGTTATTGTACTTATTACTTGCTGTTGCCAATAGCTTCACAGTGTGTGTGTGTTCATTTTCTTATCTCCAGTGTCAATTAATTGGACGCTTAGTGAGAGGATCTGTTTTATTCATTTTATTACTAAGCATCTGTTCTATTAAATCTACCAGTGTGTCATCAAATAGGCAACTCTAAAGAAATGCTTGTGTTCTTATCATATTAAAACCATTCTTTACATTATACAAAACACAACTAAATGCCAGAGTTGCAATTGCCACTGTTTTCCCTTTACAAATCATACAGCAGAGTTAGGTTTCATGCTGCCCTTAATGTCTTCCAAACTTTTTCCACACAGCTACTGTATCTGGCTGGTTGCAAGATGGATTACTGACATCATACATCACATGGACAGCACACTAGGAAGTCAGCAACAACTAAGCTGCATTTTCAGTTGAACATTGTCTGAATGCCAAACTGATAACTGCAATTTGAAATAGGTGGGCTCCTATTATATCTGAAATGTAAGGAAGGTGGGTGGTTAGGTTCTTATTAAAGTGGGGAAATGTGTCTATAAGGAGAGGCTTCTTATGGTAGAGGCCCTGTTCTCTCACACCATGTGGCCTTTGCAGTGTTTAGGCCAGCCACATGAGCAGTACTCATAGAATGTCACAGCACATGAACTGTGCTAGGTTGAGTGGTGATAAGCATGTTCAGGCCTGTAAAGGTGCCCATACACAGCACGATTCTCAGACGAGAATCGCGGGAAATCGTGCAGTGTGAATGAAGACGTGCGACCGTTTCTACTGTATGGTCGCACGTCTTTTGTCTAAGGAGCATGCTAGATTTTCGGCTGGTTTGAACGGTGCTCGGGAGACCCACACTGCCTGTTCAGCATTGCAGTAATCGCAAGCCCGCCCCTTAGGGGGGCGGGCTTGCGATGATCAAGTACGATCTGCCTGTCCAAGATGGGCAGATCGTACGTTTTTTTAATTACTTTACAACCATCGCAAGACTAAGGTCTTGCGATGGTTGTAAAGTAATGACCACCTTAAGACAACCTTCCTGTGAGGCAGACTGCTGGTGCAAACAGGTCGCTAGGTGTTGCATTGTTGTAGTGATTTACTGTAGAGATGTGGCCAGCCAGATTTGCCTATGGTACCACACCCCCTTCACTCCTGACCCAAAAGACCACCATTGAATTGTCAATTGAAGACAACTGTGTAGGCATTGTGAGACTGTCATCCTGTGCCAGAGCAGTTAGTGAAACTGTCATTACTTATTTGTGTGTCCCATGCAGCTAGACGGCTGCACTCCAACATCAGGTACTTTTTTCATTGCATCTACTTGTCAGTAAGGCTGTGTATGAAAGATCTGTCTGTCTGTGCAACAGTTCTTGTTCTTATTTCTTCTGCAGTAAAAAGATCTACTCTCAAATGACTTGTGTCTATTGAGAAATGCGGCGTGCTTTTAGGTGCATGCCATTTGCATTTTACATGAAGTAAAGAAGCTTCTAAGATCATTTGGGGCTCATTGACAGGTGCATTTAACCTTCAGTTGACTTCCTTCTAACCTAGATCTGACCTCCTTCTAAGCTGCATCAAGCTGCTTTTGCATTCCCATTAAATTATATGGAGAGGGAAAAAGTGCTGCATCAACAAAAGCCCATTGACACTAAGGAGCTAGTTTATAAAGGGTTCACCATTCTACAACTGGGCCAATGTCATTCACTTGGCATTCCTGCCACTAGATGGAGGTGAAGAGCATAGGAATTCTTGCTGGAAATGGCTATGTGTAAGTACACGACTGAGTGGACCTGGTCATCATAGAAACATGGATAATGTAGTATAGTTGGAACCAACACATTTCATGCAAGTACAATATAGAAGACATTGTTTTAAATCATATAATATCCATATCTTTCATTACAGGTACCTACCTGTTGGGTGAGGTTGTTATTTGTGACTAGCTCATAAATGGGTGCTGCTTTTGTGACCTCTAAAAGAACAGGTTCTGGGGGAGCATCGGGACTAGAGGTTACATGACACAACTGACAGTAGGAGGAGCAACGACCTCGGCTCTGGCACTCCATCCGCAGGCCTTGCACAAGGCGCCTTGTACTTGTGTCCAGCAGACTGTTAATGTATTCTGGGAAAGTCAGCACCTTGGGCTCTCTCTCTCGTTCCTCTGACTCATCTGATGGGGTATTTCCTGCAGGATAGTACAGTGTAAGTGTTTGTAAAATTATATAAATAAACAAAGTGACATGCAAAGGGCAACTCCATTAGCGTATCCCTAATTAAATATATTTATGACAAATTGTTCTGTCTTTACCTTTGTGAGTGGTTCTCCCCACATAGCAGAGATCACAAGGAGACAAGTACATAAGCAACAAATTAACTCTGAAAAGTTAAATGGTATTTAACTTAAATTGGATGGTCTTTACTTGTTATTTGTTACGGACTTGTACACGCAATGCATGACAGCATGCATTTTGGAAACAAAAAAGGCTCTCCATCTAGGGTCCAAAATGTGCTGGGAATTTCTCTTATTGGCGGTTGATGACAAGATCTAACCAATTGAATATATCATGTTGTACCTTTAGTAAAGGATGGGGAGATGTGCAGCTTTGCCCTAGGCAAGGCAGCATCGCCGCCCTCAGCGAATCTGCCGCTCCAGGCAAACGCCTTGTTTGCCTCGCGGCAGATACGCCCCTGCGTGACCCAAAGCTCAGTATATTGCGAGCTACAGCTTGTGGTATACTGAGCCCGCCGCAGCTGGAATGGATCCCGACATTACTGTCAAGGTCCACCACTCTACATAGAGGCAGAGCCAGCTGTACGCGCCTCCTCCCTGTCCGATCCTCCAGTCAGCGCTGGAGAATTGGAGCGGGGGGATGCCTGCAAGTCACAGTTCTCTGCAGGGAGATGATCAAGAAGTGAGCATTGTCACATGTTGGCTCGAACTATGAGGATGAGTGATTTTCACTCGCCTCATAGTTCTCCTCTAAGTATAATTTTTGTATAGTGAGTTGAATCAGTAAGGGGTTAACTCCTTCTGCTGGATTATTTAGGAAAGATACAGTATCTTGTTGGCTTGATGAAAGTGTGTGTATATGTCTTGAAACTGTTGCTAACATGATCTTGTAAAGTAACAAATTTGTTTGACAATAAAGAAAAAGTAAGTGCTGAGACCTATTGCTGTTTGTTTATGTAGGTATTGGGATCTTACGGATTAATCCCTGTTAACGGGACTGCATTGTTGATCCAGGTGTGCTATCTACCTCCTTCATAACTTTCATTAATATTACCTAGGTTCCGGGGGTGTAACTAGAAATCACAGGGCCCCACAGCAAAATTTTGTACGGGGCCCCATGATTGCTAGTTATGCCACTTGCAGAGCCCACCTGATATACCAAACAGCCCACCTGAGAGTGACCCTTAGACTCTCTATAGTGGGCTCTGCAGGGTCTCAAATGGGCTGCACCTCTGTGGTCACCGGGCCCCGCCTCCGCTTCCGTCTCCGGGCCCGCCTCCGCTTCCGTCTCCGGGCCCCGCCTCCTCTTCTATCGATGGGCCTCGCTTGCTCTTAAGTCGGTAGCCAGTGATGTAAGAGGAGGTGGGGTTGCTCTTAAGTGAGCCCCGCCTCCTTCTTCACTGCGAACGCAGGCATCTTCTGCCGCAGCTGCTGGCTGACACAGCTCCGCAGCAGCTGTGAGGGTAAACACGCCGCGGCCGCTGCACATATCACTGACAGGATGTCAGTGATCTTCACAGCCGCTGCTGAGCTGTGTCAGTGACAGCCAGCACCCTTACATGCCATAGCGACACAGGTGGCCCACACGGCATCAAAGGGATGCCCTGGTCGGGCCCCTCTGTGCCCGAGCCCCATAGCGGCTGCCTGGGTCGCTATGGCGATTGTTACGCCACTGCTAGGTTCCTCACCTATGTATGGTGAGGGGCTCCAGTGTTTGTCTGCTTTGGAGGAAGCAATCCTTGTTGCTTTTTCATTTCCTAATAAGTTCTAGTCTGGGTCCTAGAGCCCGGAGGCTTTGTAAAACTGTGGGCAGGATAAAGCCTCCATTCCTAGGTTCACATTTTACCTGTTAGCCAGACCCCACTTTATAAATTCTTTATTTAACGAGTTTTCAGACAGTAAAACATATATAGCAAGCAAGGGAAACAACTCCCATCGTAAAAGCAGTGGACGCAGCCACCAAACAATGACATTACAATAAGACACCAGGGGAGAGTGTGAAGGGGAATGGGAGAAGAGCTTTGTTCTAGGGCAATCCAGGGTTTCAGGTCAGCGTGACGACACCAGTCAAGGATCCGTGCGAGATGAGCGGCTACATAGTAAAAATAGACGTCGGGGACTGCCAGGCCTCCGCACGTCTTAGGTAAACGGAGAATGGAGTGTCGTATTCTAGCCGGCTTAGACCCCCAGATGTATTTAGTGAGCAGGGATTGAACCACCGCCCAGAATCCCCTGGGCAAGGAGATGGGCAGTGCTTGAATAGGAGTTCCCACATCCAGTTAAGCTTCCACCGACATCCTTGGATTTACTAGGTCTCCAGCGCGTTGTCGTGCTTGACGGCCAGCTCCGCATCTTGAGCGGGAGTGTCGCTGGGCCGTTGGGGCTCGCCGGGAACCCTCCGATAGGTACTCCAACCAATCTGGAGGGGGCTGGATATCCACGTCGAGGAAACTTCCTAGGCCAGCGACATCTTTCTGAGAACGAAGGACGTAAGAGGACTCCCCTTTCTTCACTATCAAGTGGAACGGGTAACCCCAGCGGTACGTCGCCCCCGCGCTGCGAATCTGATCCAACACCGGGCGGAGGATAGCCCGGCGCCTAAGGGTATTGCGGGACAGGTCTGGAAGGATCTGTAGCTGTACTCCGTCAAACTCGACGGGTCTACGTTGCCATGCAGCCCGGAGTATCTCTTCTTTGATAGTGTAGTAATGCACTCGGCACACCACGTCACGTGGGGTTAACACGTTGGGGAGACGGGGGCCTATAGCCCTGTGAACCCGGTCCAAGATGATGGTGGCCGGCTCCACTGCCTCAAGTATGGACGCAAATATGGCTTGCACCGTGGCCCGCAGATCCGGGGTGCCAGTGGCCTCCGGGATACCCCGGATACGCAGATTATTGCGTCTCCCTCTGTCTTCCATATCCTCCATGTGGAGTTGCAGGTCAGAGAGCCTGGGGTCAGGCCGCAGGGCTGCCGACTCAAGTGCGGAGAGCCTGGATTCCATTGTGGAGCAGGTGACCGTGACATCCGCTACCGTGGAAGCCAGTGCCTTCACCTCCCGTTTCACTTCCCTCAGGTCCTTCCTAAGAGTAGCCTCGACCCGAGACACCATGGACTCGAAGTCCCGTTTAGTTGGGAGGTACCGCAGCAAGGCCCGAATCCCCTCCGGTACATCCGCTGGTAATTCATCCGCCAGTTCAGCTCCATCATCATGTGGGTCTGGATCGGGTGGTTCCAGTGAGTCAGAGCCATGCCGGGAGGTATCCGGGGAAGGAGATCCCCGCCAGGCGAGTGCCGTGTGCCGGGACACGCGCAGATGTGGAAGATGCCGTCCGAGGCCTACCTCAATCCATGGGGGCAGCGCTCCTCGGGGAGAAAAACTGCTGTAACGAAGCGTCGGAGACCTGCGATTTGGATTCGCCAGCCTTCCTGCGGGTCGACATAGCGCGATCCGGGGTATTGGTGGGGTAAAGTCTATAGTAAGAGTGCAGATGGTACTCTGAAGCCGCAGAGCTCCTCAGATCGAGCACCTCACGCCGCCATGGTTAGGACACGCCCCCCCAGACCCCACTTTATAAGACAGGCTCTTGGGGGGAGTCTCTTTGTGATGGGTGAAAAGGCTGACTGCTGACATAACGCTAAAAAGGTACATACCCTACCTGTTTGTTTTGAGGAACCCATAGGGGAGAACCCTGCTAGTCAGGAACTGATATGCGCTTAGTTAGTGGCTTGGACAAGCAGATGTTTTGTTTGTTTTAGGCTGTGAACTTTCATAGCCCTCCTACACTGAACTGTTTGTTTACTGCATTGCTCTATAAACAGGCAGGACAAACCTGCTTGGACTGTTCTTGGGTGTTCCGTCTTGCCGTCTTGTGCATGATTATATAAGTTTGGGCTTTGCGTGTAATCTAAATTAAAAGTAAACAAAGCTAAAAATCTACCCACAGCCATTACTGTTTCCCTGTAGACCGACATTTGTTGCAGAGTTATGAATCACTACAGAGACTTTCATTTGGGTAGTGAATCTGTTTAATTACAAGCTGTGCAAAAAGCCAGAAATTTGTCTCGCACAAGTTTTTTTTCAGTCTGCTAAAAAAATTTTTAGTGCATTGAATATCTTTTGAATAAGAGAAAGGAGGGGAGTATTAGGTAAAACAGTGTGAAAAGCAAAGATATACATTTGCTCAGAATTCTTTTTTTTTTTCAACTTTGTTTCACCAGAAAATTTTTTTTAGAGCAATGAGAGATAATTCTGCGTTTTTTACATTGGGTGTACTGTACATTCCTACTGTACATCTTGTCCTTATTATCAGTGTTTCGCTAGGTTGCGTGCTAGGTGCAATGATCCATTAAATGTTTGCACCACTTGTAGAAGTCATTATCAGCACATCTGTGATGCTGGAAATGTATAAAGTTTACAAACACATTTGGCGGATAAGTCAGTCCACTAGACTTTAATCGTCACTTGAAACAACACGTATGCATAGACATAGAAAAGCAGGACTAATTAAACTTTATCTGCTACACTGTATCTGCTGTGCAGTTTAGCAAGTTCAAGCAATAGCAAGTTGCACATGCAAATAATCTGCTGATGCAATAGTCACAATTGAGTGGGAGACAGATGTACAATATGGAGGCTTTTTTTAGGATAGGTCTGTGCTGAGAACTCTAATATGTGAGATGTCTCACTGCTGGATACCAGGACTTAGGCAGATCTGACACTTTAACAGCACTCAGGCAAAATTACCAGAAGTCTGCAGAAAGTAACACCTTACATGTTGTAACAACATTCTTGTTTTGTATTTCATGAATTTTTTGGGAGCACAAAAGAAAGAATTAAGAAAAATGAAGTTCAAAGTAAAAGCAAGTAAATGTTTTTGATGTATATTTCAGGCTGGGTTTACACGAATGCATTTGCAGTAATACACTGAAAACTCCACATTTTGCCACGCTT